ATCCAGGGGTCTTCAAACTTTTTCAACAGGGGGCCAGTTCAGTGTTTCTCAGACTGTTGGAGGGCCGGAATATAGTTTAAAATAAAACTATGAACAAATTCCTATGCACACAGGACGAGTTGGCTGCTAAGCAGGACGGGCAGCGGTGGCAAAAACACCTGGCAGACCAGATAAATGTCCTCGGCAGGCTGCATGTGGCCCACGGGCCGTAGTTTGAGGACCCCTGTCCGGATCCATGATGGCAATGTGAGTTAAGTGTTGGGTTGCTAATTGCAAGGTCACTAGTTCAAAACCACCAGTCGCTCCATCGAAGAAAGATGAGGTTTTCTACTCTCAAAAAGATTTATCGTTTTGGGAACTCACAAGGGCAGCAGCTCTACTCTGTCCTGTAGGGTCATTAGGAGTTGGAATACACTTGATGGCAGGGGTTTTTTGAGTACCTAGAGATTGATATCTAGGTATTAGTGAGCTGATATAGAGCAGGATTGGCCATTTTTAATTGGGCAATCATTATTTACTATGTCTGGAATGACAAATCCATGACAATGGTGTTTCATTCATCACCCTCTCCCCAGATCTATCTTGAAGTATAGTGATCTCTCTTGTACTTTCGTACAAGGATGACCAGATATTACATTACTCAAATTCAGACAAATCACTAAAGCCAATGATGAGAAATAGAAGAGTCTTATGAACTTGAGTCTGAAATTGATCAAACATGTGTTCAAGATGCATTGATAATTATTAGTGATTGGAATGTGAAAGTTGGAAACCAAGAGGATCAGTAGTTGGAAAATATGAGGCTGGAAATTACATGAAAGTATTTTGCAAGCCCAATGATTCCTCAATGAAAATACCATTTCCAACAACATAATATACAGGAATCAAAGTGATTACATTTGTGGAAAAAGATGATGGAACAAAGGAGAAACTTGACATCATCAGCCAAAATAAGGCTAGGGGTCCACTGTGGAACAGATGAACTATTTCGCACATGCAAGTTCAAGTTGAAACTGAAGAAAGTTAAAATAAGTTCATTAGCACCAAAATATGACCTTGAACACACCCTCCCTGAATTTTGAGACCATCTCAAAAAAGAAATTTGATACATTTAACACTAATGAGCAAAGACCAGATGAGCTGTTGGATGATATAAGGAACATCATACATAAAGAAAGTAAAAGCTCATTAAAAAAAAGCAAAGCAAAGCAAAATAATAATAATTTATAAATCATCAAGGTTTCATAAGGGAGGGGGGATTGGGGAGGGAGGGGGAAAATGATGAGCTGATACCAAGGGCTCAAGCAGAAAGCAAATGTTTTGAGAATGATGATGGTAACAAATGTACAAATGTGCTTGACACAATGGATGTATGTATGGATTGTGATAAGAGTTATACGAGCCCCCAATAAAATGATTAAAAAAAAAAAAGCAAACACCAAAGTGTATGCTAAAATAGACTCTGAAACTTGTTCTTGAACAGAGTAGCTAAAACAAATATAAGAAACAGTGAAGTAAAAATAATTGAACATAACATTTCAAAATGCAGTTTGAGAAGACAAATTAACATGTTACCATGAAATATACTGTGGTAGTTAGATAATTTCATGTCAACTTGATAATTAGAATGTAGGGGTGGAGTCTAGCCTGTCATCAGGTCACAAGGTAACACCCACCAGGAGGATTCTGGGAACTTCTTTTTCTCCTGGGAGGAGGAGGACACTCTCTCTGCTTCACATTCCTGATAACAAGCCACATGGAGCCACAATGATGGCAACCTGAGCCATGGAGATGTTTCCACCACCACTGGATCCACAAGATTTTCTGCCCTCAGGCCTGCCTGTTATCTTCCTGAATTTTGCATCATGGCATGTGGCTGTGTGAGTCTGAAGAGGGATTTATGGACTAGTATTAGACTTATGGATTTGATCTGGAGTGGGCTGGGATGTTTTCCTGATATATAATAACTTCTAGATGTAAAGCTCTTTTTTACACATATATGAGTGTCTCTGGATTTGTTTCTCTAGTCAGATTGGCCTAACACACATGGTATTTTAATCTTATATGCATATGAGAGCTAGACAGTGAATAATGAATACCACAGAAGAATTGATGCTTTTGAATTTTGGTGCTGGCAAATAAGGAATACCATAGACTACTGACACAAACAAATGTGTCTTGGAAGTACATTAGAGATGCATGATGCTCAAGATCATCAGGTTAAAAAATAGAATTATGGGTTATTTCACTTTCATTCAAATAATTGCTATATGTATATATACTCACTTTCATCAAGTCAATCTCAATTCAAAGGAGCTCTGGTGGCACAGTGGATAGGCACTGAGCTGCCAATCACAAGGTCAGTGGCTCAAACCCACCAGGTGCTCCCTGGGAGAAAGGTGAGGCTGTCTGCTCCTGTAAAGATTAAAAGTCTCAAAAACCCAAAGGGGAAGCTCCATTCTGTCCTAAAGGGTTGCTATGAATATGATCTATATGCTGTTGTTGTTAAGTGGCATCCAGTTGGTTCTGACCCTTAACAGCCTTATTCACAACAGAATGAATGCCTGGTATGCACGATCCTCACAATTCACAATTGTTCCTATGTTTGAGCCTATTGTTGCATCCATTATGTCAGTCCATCTGGACCAGGGTTGTTGTCTTTTTTTTTGTTGCTGTCCCTGTATTTTACCAAGCATGTGTCCTTCTCCAGGGACTGGTCTCTCCTGACATGTTCGAAGTATGCAAAAAGAAGTCTCGCCCTCCTTGGCTCTAAGGAGGACTCTGGCTATACTTCTTGCAAGGCAAGTTGTTTGTCCTTTCAGCAGTCCATGGTACTTTCAATATTCATCACCAGCACCACAAGGCAAATACATTGATTATTTTCTGTTTTCCTTATTCAATGTCCAACATTCACGTGCATCTGAGGTAATTGAAAATACCATGGCTTGGGTTGGGTGTACCTTAGTCCCCAAAGTAACATCCTTTTCAATACTTTAAAGAGGTCTTGTGCAGCCAATTTACACAATGCAATGCACTTTTTGGTCCCTTGACGGCTGCTTCCATGAGCATTGTGGATCCAAGCAAGACAAAATCTTTGACAACTTCAATCTTTTCTCCATTTCTCATGATGTTACCAGCTGTGAGGTTTTACACACATATGTGTATATGTGTACACATATATATATGTACACTCATATATGTGTATCCCGAGACATTCATATGTCTCTTTTATATTGAGTTGTAATCCATACTGAAGGCAATGCCACATCTTCATCAGTAAGTGTTTAAAGTCCTCCTTACTTTCAGCAAGCAAGATTGTGTCATCTGTATAGTGCAGGTTGTTAATAAGCCTTCCTTCAATCCTGATGCTACATTCTTCTTCATATAATCCAGATACACATTGACTTAGGATGATGAGAGGATACAACTCTCATCTTTGCACCTTTCCTGATTTTAAACCATGCAGTATTCCCTTATTCTATTCTCACAACTGCCTCTTGATCCGTGTATCAGTTCCACACGAGCATGGTGAAGTGTACTGGAATCCTCATTCTTTTCAAGGTTATCCACAGTTTGTTATGAATTTAAATAAATAATTTAAAAAATAATAAAGAAATTACATATATATATCTCCTCACACCTAGAACATATTGAGATTAGGGCCCAGCATTTAAAAAAATTGAGTGAAAAACCACATCTTCATAATATACTTTTGCATAAAATGTTAACAGTTTGCTCTTCTTCATTTTCAGGTCAAGAATTTGAAAATGAGAGGTTTCAGGAATAGAGATAAATTTCATTGAATTAGATTTAATCATCAAATGTAAGCAGTGTCTGAGAGAGAAAAAAAATAGCATTTGCCATCCAAGTGAGTAAAATGGATAATGACTAAAACATATTTTTGTGTGTGTTTTGACCTCTGGCACCTCCAAATATTCATTTAAATACAAGTTATACCTTCAGTTCATGACAGGTCTGCAAGAACATATCTTAGGTCGCAACCCTTCTTATCTAATGGCAGTAGGATGACTATAACCTCCGTGGGTCAACTTATATTAAAAAAAAAAAAATCCTTAATTCTTATAGCAAAAAGTCAGCCAAAGTAGCCTATGAAATCTCATATTCAGGAAGGTGGGACCAGGCTGGGCTACTAATGTCAATAAATCCTCAGCATAAACAGTAGCACTTGCTTGACTTTCTTTAGCTTTCTGAGTGGCTGCTGTCCCTTAGAGCAGGGCAGCCCCTGAGCCTCCTTCCCTTGGGCCATCCTCAGTCACGTGGGAGAACAAAGGCGAGGCTTAGGTAGTAGCTGCCATGAAAAGATGGTGATTTGGTTAAGTAGCAACTCAGTGTAGTGTAATAAAAGTTAATGTCTTGAGAACTGCCCTTGCCTTCTTGTGATTAGATTGGAGAGGTTCCCTGGACTCCTGCCAAAGAGCACAGATTTACCTTCATCAAGTACAGGGAAAACTCCAACCATTCCACATTCAAATACAATTCCATCAAAGTGAAAAATAAGATATGTTGAAACCTTTAGCTACATTTGTGGAGAGAAAGAAAAAACAATGATTTTCCAAAAAAAATTCTTTAAAATGTTGTGTACATAATCTTATTAGTAACACATATAAAACATTTTTAAGACACTTAGTGACTTGTTAGGCGATATTTCAAAGGGGAATAAATACAAAGTGAGGTTTTACAATTAAAATGATCTAGTTGGTAATAACTCTAGAAAGAGTTCTGCAATAAATAATTGTTTTGGGAAGAAGAGTTATAACTTTTTCCAAAACGTCCAGAAAAGATGTAAACACTATGTGTTTAAAATGTTAATACGGCAATGTTAATTCAGTACATAAATAAAGTGGCACCAACTTTATGGCAATTTTTCAACACAAAAATGTAGTTCAAGGGTATTTAAAAATAAATAATAGCTCCATACAGGGAAGCTAATTTGTAACATAAACACTATTGTAAACATAATGCTATGAGAAAGTGTAGCTCTATAAATTTCAAACCATTCACATACGAAAGAAGTGTTAGCTGGATCTTTAGATCTGAAGTACCAATCACATGGGTAAAGTCAGCATCACTCAAAATCAGGTGTAGGGCTGGCCATCCTTTGCCAGTTTTCTTTTTTCTTCTAGTGTGTGTTTAAATATTTTCTTCAGAGTGTTGTAAACTACCGGTCCATTTGCAGATTCGAGATTAACCTGATGACAAAGAAAATCTATTTTCAGCATTTGTAAGAAGAATTTTACCCAGTATCTATTTTGGGAGAAAAGAAATGAGAGAGAGAAAGAAACAGAGAGAGATAGAGAACAAACACTATATTAAAACTATCCACTATGTCCATACCAAATTTATGAATGAAAACTCAAAAATCGAATCTGGGATAATGATACCCATTCCTTCCCCCAGGCACTTTCGTGAGTAAAAAATGAAATCAGGTATGAGACTCTGATGTATGGTTGACACATACCAAAAAACTCAACAAAAGTTAGCTTCCACTCTCCTTGGTAAGAAAGCATACACTATTTTGATTCTTCTTTGAAGCTTTCTATACTCTAGGGTTAGGAGTGATGGTAGAACTATTCCTACACCCCTCCTCAACCCAGTGTCCATGTAATATGTGATTCATTGATAAGAATTAGGATCACTTGGCCCGAGCTTCTCTCCTCCTAGAATATTTTTCTCTGGTAAATATTGACAAAAAGAAGGTTGTTTCCTTTGTCAAAACTGTGACGGATCTGATATTTATTCTACTTGTAAGCCAAAGTCATGGCCATTGAGTCAATTCTGCCCCACAGGTCCAAATAGGTTTCTGGAGTCTGTACATCTTTATGAGATCTTTCTCCCCGCCCCAGGCCTCTTTAGCTAGCAAGCTAGCCTACTGCAATTTCAGGTGTGCTACTGAACACATGATATTCCTTGGTCGGAGGCAAGTTATTTTATTATGTTTGGTAGAGCATGAGCCTCTTGTTCACATAATTTTCCCTTTGCCCTTTCAGCCCCATGAGGGGTGAGATGTAAGTAGGCACAGGTGGTTATTTTACATGCAGCAGGTTTACATCAAACCTGAAGAAACCCACTTTTTATGAGGAGTATCATGGTTTGAATGGTGTACACCCAAATATGTGTCAGCTTGGCTAGGTGATGATTCTCAGTGGGTTATGTAACACTATAATTTGGAGGTTATACAATGATCCCCCATTATACAATTATCCCATTACATGATAAATCAATCTGTTTTAAGAGGATTAAGGATGGGATTTTAAAAAAAAAACCAAAGCACCAAACTCACTGTCATTGAGTTAATTCTAACTCATAACGAACCTATAGGACAGGGTAGAACTGCCCCAGTGAGTTTCCAGGACTGTAACCGTTAACTGGAGCAGAAAGCCCCAATCTTCCTCTTGCAGAAAAGCTGGCGGTTTTGAACTGCTGACCTTTCAGATTGTGGCCCAATTCATAACCACTACACTAAGGGTGGGTTACAACACCCTTAATCCTCCCTGACCAATATAAGATGTTTCTCTGGGATGGACACATCAGGGAGGAGAAAAGGAGGGAGAGGGAGAGAAACAGAAAAAGGGAGAGAGAGGCCGAGACCATACTACCAAGAAAAGAAGAGCTTCCTTGGGAGTGGAGCATATCCTTTGGACAAAGGAGCCTAAGCTGCCAGAGAGGAAAAGCCGTACCCTTGAGTTGGCATCCTGAATTCTGACTCATTGTACCCTAACCTGAGAGAATCTGTTTGTTAAAGCCTCCCACTTGCATTATTTCTATCATAGTAGCAGTAGGCAACGAAGACAAGGTGGTTGTAAGCAAACCTGATCAACTTTTGCCCTAATGGGAAAATTACCTTTAGTATATCAAATAGTAAACACATCTGTCCCTTGCCCTTGGAGTCAGGCACTATCCAGAAAGTTCTTGATGAGCTACCAATGCTTCTGCTCATAAAACTGTACAGAAATGTTTCCTAACACTGCAATACAGAATACAGAATACAAAAATGTTTCCTACCATTCCTGTACACAGATTTAGAATAATTGGTATATCGAACCATTCACCTAATAGCCCCTGTGAATCCAACAGTTGCTGAAAAGAATTCCTACTATTTTCAGTGGCACAATATTAAGGGTTGTTTTTTATCCAGTTAACTCACAAATCTAATTTAATTTCTTTATTGCCTATATTATTTGTAAAAATTAATTTT